TAAGATCAGAGCAGAACTGAAGGAGACAGAGACACAAAAAAACCTACAAAAAATCAATCAATCCAGGAGCTGGTTTTTTAAAAGATCAACAAAATAGACAATCCACTAGCCAGGTTAATAAAAAAGAAAAGAGAGAAGAATCAAAGAGATGCAATAAAAAACGACAAAGAAGATATCATCACAGATTCCACAGGAATACAAACTACCATCAGAGATTACTACAAACAACTCTATGCACATAAACCAGTAAACCTGGAAGAAATGGATAAATTCCTGGACACTTGCATCCTCCCAAGCCTAAACCAGGAAGAAGTTGAAACCCTGAATAGACCAATAACAAGGGCTGAAGTTGAGGCAGCAACTAATAGCCTGCCAACCAAAAAAAGCCCAGGTCCAGATGGGTTCACAGCATAATTCTACCTGACATACAAAGAGGAGCTGGTACCACTCCTTCTGAAACTATTCCAAACAATACAGAAAGAGGGAATTCTTCCCAAATCATTTTATGAGACCAACATCATCCTGATACCAAAACCTCGCAGAGACTCAACAAAAAAAGAAAACCTCACGTCAATATCCATGATGAACATAGATGCAAAAATCTTCAATAAAATACTGGCAAACTGATTGCAACAGCATGTCAAAAAGCTTATCTACCACAATCGAGTAGGCTTCATCCTGGGGATGCAAGTCTGGTTCAATATACACAAGTCTATAAATGTAATCCACCACATAAACAGAATCAAAGACAAAAACCACATGATCATCTCAATAGATGCAGAGAAGACCTTGGACAAAATTCAACAGCCCTATATGCTAAAAACTCTTAACAAACTAGGTACAGATGGAACACATCTCAAAGTAATAAAAGCTATTTACAAACCCACAGCCAATATCATATGGAATGGGCAAAAACTGGAAACATTCCCTTTGAAATCTGGCACTAGACAAGGATGCCCTCTCTCACCACTCTTATTCAATATAGTATTGGAAGTTCTAGCCAGAGCAATCAGGCAAGAAAAAGAAATAAAGGTATTCAATTAGGAAAAGAGGAAGTCAAATTGTCTCTATTTGCAGACGACATGATTGTGCATTTAGAAGACCCCATCATCTCAGCTCAAAATCTCCTTAAAATGATAAGCAACTTCAGCAAAATCTCAGGATACAAAATCAATGTACAGAAATCACAAGCATTTCTATACACAAATAAAAGACTAAAAGAGAACCAAATCAAGAGCAAACTCCCATTCACAATTGCTACAAAGAGAATAAAATACCTAGGAATGCAACTAACGAAGGATGTAAAGGACCTCTTAAAGGAGAATTACGAACCACTGCTCAAGGAAATAAGGGAGGACACAAACAGATGGAAAAACATTCCATGCTCATGGTTAGGAAGAATCAATATTGTGAAAATGGCCATACTGCCCAAAGTAATTTATAGATTCAACGCTATCGCCATCAAGCTACCTATGACTCTCTTCACAGAACTGGAAAAAAGTCACCTTAAACTTCATACAGAATCAAGAGAGAGCCCAGATAGCCAAGACAATTCTAAGCAAAAAGAACAAAGCTGGAGGCATCATGCTACCTGACTTCAAACTATACTACAAAGCTACAGTAATCAAAGCAGCTTGGTACCAGTACCAAAACAGAGATATAGACCAATGAAATGGAACAGAGGCCTCAGAGGCAACGCCACACATCTACAACCATCTGATCTTCTTTGACAAACCTGACAAAAACAAGCAATGGAGAAAGGATTCCCTGTTTAATAAATGGTATTGGGATAACTGGCTAGCCATATGCAGAAAGCAGAACCTGGACCCCTTCCTGACACCTTACACTAAAATTAACTCCAGATGGATTAAAGACTTAAACATAAGACCCAACACGATAAAAACCCTAGAAGAAAACCTAGGCAAAACCATTCAGGACATAGGCATAGGCAAGGGCTTCATGACTAAAACACCAAAAGCACTGGCAACAAAAGCCAAAATAGACAAATGGGACCTAATTAAACTCCAGAGCTTCTGTACAGCAAAAGAAACAATCATTAGAGTGAACCGGCAACCAACAGAATAGGAAAAAAATTTTGCAAGCTACACATCTGACAAAGGGCTAATATCCAGAATCTACAAAGAACTAAAACAGATTGGCAAGAAAAAAATAAACCCATTCAAAAGTGGGTGAAGGATATGAACAGACACGTTTCAAATGAAGACAGATGATGCCAACAAACATATGAAAAAATGCTCATCATCACTGGTCAATAGAGAAATGCAAATCAAAACCACATTGAGATACCACCTCACACCAATTAGAATGGCAATCATTAAAAAATCTGGAGACAACAGATGCTGGAGAAGCTGTGGAGAAATAGGAACACTTTTACACTGCTGATGGGAGTGTAAATTAGTTCAACCATTGTGGAAGACAGTGTGGCACTTCCTCAAGGACCTAGAAATACAAATTCCATTTGACCCAGCAATCCCATTACTGGGTATATATCCAAAGGATTATAAATCGTTCTATTATAAAGAGACATGCACACGTATGTTCATTGTGGCACTGTTTACAATAACAAAGACCTGGAACCAACCCAAATGCCCATCAGTGATAGACTGGACAGGGAAAATGTGGCATATATACACCATGCAATACTATGCAGCCATAAAAAACGATGAATTTGTGTCCTTTGTAGGGACATGGATGAATCTGGAAACCATCATTCTCAGCAAACTGACACAAGAAGAGAAAATCAAACACCATGTGTTCTCACTCATACGTGGGTGTTGAACAATGAGAACGCATGGACACAGGGAGGGGAGCATCACACGCTGGGGTCTGTTGAGGGGAACTAGGGGAGGGACAGTGGGGGATAGGGAGGTCAGGGAGGGATAACATGGGGAGAAATGGCAGATATAGTGATGGGGGATGGAGGCAGCAAACCACATTGCCATGTATGTACCTATGCAACGATTCTGCATGATCTGCACATGTACCCCAGAATCTAAAGTACAATAATTAATACATATATTTATAGAAACGCAAATCAAAACCATAATGAGGTAACACTTCACACTCATTAGGATGGCTGTAATTGTTTTTAAAAAAAAGGTAAGTGTTGACAAAATGGAGAAATTGGAATGCTCATACATTGCCAATGGGAACATGAAATGGTGCAGCCACTATGAAAAAGTTTGACAGTTCTTCGAAATATTAAAGATAGAGTTACTACATGACTTAGCAATTCCACTCCCAGGTATAGACCCAAGAGAAATGAAAATGTAAGTCCACACAAAAGCATGTACACAAATAGTATAGTGGCATTACTCTTAAGAGCCAAAAAATGGAAATAACCAAAATGTCCATGAACCGATGAATCGATGAATCAAATGTGGTCCATCCATACAATGGAATATTATTCAGCCATAAAAAGATAAGTCCAGATTTATGCTACAACTTCGATGAACCTTGAAAACATTATGCTAAGTCACAGAAGACCACATTTCATGATTCCATTTTTGTGAAATGACGAGAATACGCAAAGCCATGAAGATAGTAGATTCATGGTTGTCAGGGGCTAAGGGGAAAGGAGAGAATGGGGAGTGATTGCTAATGGGCATGGATATTCTTTTAGGATGACAAAAATTAGATCATCATGATGGTTGCATAACTTTGTGAATAAACTAAGAACCACTGAATTGTATATTTAAAAATATGAATTGTGTGCTACATGAATTATATTGCAATAAAGCTGTTATAAAAAAGAGAAAAAGAAAACATTTCTGTATGAACTCCACCAGAAGACCTGACATCTACTCTGGAGAATGTTAAGCCACCACTGACTGAATTAAATTAACATGAAGCTGAAATTAAAGTGGAGTGCTGGTGTAGAACATGGAAGAAAATTGAGCCATCTTTGTCTCTGATAGGAATTAACCCCCACCCCCGCCCCCAGGCTTAATGGGGGCTGGAAGATGGTCAAAGCTCTCAGCGAATGTGATGAACAAAATATACTTCCTTTATGGACTGATACCACCAGGACCTGTCCATGTGGGAAAAAAAATCATCTGAAGGAAAGAGCTGCAGAGATTCAGAATGGGACTCTGGCTTCAAAGACAAGTGGCTAACATCACCCACAGAACCTGCTGCTTTTCATTCTACAATAGTGTAAGCAGAAGAAAATCTACAGCAGCATCTGACACCTGCAAGAGCCCAAAAGCAGGGTCATGATGGCTCTTGGGTATTTATTTTAGTGACTGGCCAGGCTCACTTGCGGTCAAGTGACAGGAGCAGGTTTCTGTCCTCAACACTTTCCTCAATTTCACTACAAATAAACTGAAGCAAGTGATGGCTCTTCTCAAAGCCAAAGTTTTACAGAGAAGGATGGTTTGCCCAGAGCATCATTGTCTCAGTCCCTGGCCATGTCCACAAGTGTCTCCACCCTCCCTCCAATATCCGTTCCAGCTGGTTAGATAAATATAATGGAGGTTCTGCATGTATCCATTCTGTGCTGAGATGACCAACAACAGAAACTCTTTGCAGAGATTTAAAAAGAATCACATACCACACCTACTGAAAGTGTGTCTGTGGGTGAAGGAGCTAGCCATTTGCCCTGAGGGAACAGGAGATAACACAGGCAGAGAGGCAAAATTGCCATTTACAATACTATCTTCTTGCCAGGAAAATCCGGGACAGCACAAGAATGAGGGGTAGGAAACAACAGAAGGTGAGAGGAAGGGAAAGAAATCAAACCAAACCAAAACACCACAGCCTAGGACTTGCCTGCCCTTTTATGTCAGGTTAAGTCCTATAGCTTATAAAGCCTTCTATGTGACTGGGAGACTTGAATCCCATGACAGAGATGAACAAGATAAAACTTAGAACCATGAAATCCTTGTATTGATGTGCATGTAAATGTCAACACATTTACACATCCGCGTACATCTCCGAGCGAGATTCTGACCTCGCTCCTGTTTATGTGGTCTACTTACTTTTGGACTGTTGGATGCGGTTTCACAGTTGCTGCAGAAGCTGGGCCACTTCCAACAGTGGAAGGCTCTTGGTTTTCTGTAGCTTGATTTTCTGGTCTGAATTTCCTACGAATGGGCTTTGATGGTGGCTGAGAATACGGTACATCCTGTGGATTTAAAACAATAGAATTTAAAAGTTAAACATTTAAATGTTCCTTCCACTCTTCTTGCCAGTGTCCCACATTCCTTTGGCCCCAATCCCAAGATCAGGAGGGTGCTCCATCTATTGACCCATAGCTCAGCAAGAACTGGGGGGCACAGGCATCAGAGTCCAGTGGTCTTCCCTTTTTTCTTTTACTTTTTAAATGTTTCAAGAAGTCTATTACTTCTTGTCACCTGAAACTCACACAGACCCTGGGTGCATCTCACCCCATGGGGCCTTTTCTAACTGAAGACAAGATAGGCTCCTGCCTCACTTTGGAGCCTTTTAAAACCTAAGCTTTGGAAGTTTTTAAAAGTCTTAGTCACATGCTCATCATTCTCCTACCCCCAATTCCTACATAAAGTCAAGAAAAGGAGACACACTGTATTCTGGAAGGACACAGTTGTTCCACTTCCTTGGAGGACTCTGCCTCACCTGTGCTCCTGAGCCCAAGGCCCACTTTCTCTGAAGGTAGAAGAGCCTGGGAGAAGGACAAGAAGAGGGTGAGGAGATGAATGGAAAGTATGATGAATGATGGGTACTTACTGAGTAAATGACAGGTGTCCCAGCAGCATGGCTGGGCAGATGTCAGGTGAAAATGACAGGATGCAAGAGGAAACCATGGTACAAAGACCAAGAAAAAGAGCTACCCCACCCCAAGAGGTGCTCACAGAGGCTTAGCAGGTAAATGGGGTTTTGCTAAATACATGTGTCCCTCCCCACAGCCCTTTATGATCTTGCCAAAAACAGGGTCACCGTGTTTAGCTGGGGAGTTAAGAAGGTGAGTATGTACTGTCATATACAAAATGACATCAAGGGTCAAGCCCAGGATTCTTCAGGACCCCAATCTTCACAAAGAACCCATATTCTAGGAAATCTGGATCACTGACATTCATTTCAGGACACAGAAACCTCCAAACAATAGATCTGCCAATAGAGATAAGAAGCCCAGGGGTGGGAATTACAACACCATCTGATAGCATCCTGAGGCTGACCTTACCTTCTTTGAGGGACTACTTTCTGCAGCCTGGGATGGGGCTCTGCTCAGCTGTGGGGGTAACTCGGCCTCCAACACTTGTTCAGACTGTAGCAAGAGATCAGAGAGAGGACAGAAATGCAAAAACACAATCACCTAAATACATAACAAAGAGCACTTAGGAAGATAATCGCCAAGGGAAAACTGATTTAGGCCACCTTGCAGCCAAGAATGCTTATGTCTGCTGATCCTTGGGAAAAACCTCCCATAGATGATTCTATACCCTCCCATTCCTCCTTCCCAGATTGTTCAACCTTAGGAAAAGGAATCACGGGAATTTATTCTATAATTGAATATGTGTATGTCTAAAAAGCTAATGCTTTGCAACAACAAACTCTAAAAATAACGAGGCTTATAAAAAAACAGGGTTAGAAAAAAATGATTTTAATTTGAGCACCAACAAAAACAATCATCATCATTTAAAACACTGTGATATTTTTAAATGTTAAGTCTCTAATAAAGAAATACTCTATGAACAGTATGAAGAAGAGGTGAGAACTATCCCCCAGGCCAACCAAAGCCCACACGCTGCTGCATTCCCAGATCCAGCACCTACATTCCACTGCAGTTGCCACCACCATGCCCAAGAGAAAAGCTGAAGGGGACACTAAAGAAGATAAAGCCAAAGTGAGGATGAACCACAGAGAAAATCTGCAAGGTTGTCTGCCAAACCTACTCCTCCAAAGCCCAAGCCTAAAGAAGCCCCTGCAAAGAAGGGAGAGAAGCTAAAGGGGAAAAAGGGAAAAAAGCCCACGGTGGCAAGGAGGGGAATAACCACACAGAAAATGCAGAGGCCAAAACAGAACAGGCACAGAAAGTTGAAGGCACTGGGGATGTCAAGGGAAGCGTGTGCATTTTTGATAACTGTGTACTTCTGGTGACTGTGCAATCTGAAGTACTCATTTTTTATTAAGTTTTATAAAAATGCAGAATTGTTTTTTTCTTTTAAGCCATGTTGTTAGCACACTGAACACGTCATTGTTGTTTTATGGAGAAGTGGCATATGTCACTAACAGTATGTATCTGAAGCTGGACTGATGTGGAGGAAACACCTTTCCCTTCTAGTTTTGTAAGACATCTTCCTGGTTCCCAGGAGGAGGGACTGTCTGACATTGACACACACAGTCACCTTGGCACAAATGCCTTGTGGCACGGAGAAAGAAACTCCTCTTAATGTCCCCCCTCCCTCTCTGCCTTCAGTATACACTTAACTCCCTCAAACCCTCTCCCTGTTGGGGTCTGGCCCCTAATAACTGGTTACCAGTCAGGCTGGGAATCTGGACTTTCCAGTGAGAACTTTTGAAAGACCAGTGCTCTGTTTCTAGATTGTGGATCTTCAGATAAAGTCTGCCATTTTTGTGTCATTTCCTGAAAGTCAAGGTCAGCTCATGGAAAGTTCTTGAACAACATGTTGAATATGAAATGTCAAGCCTGACTCTGAACTTTCCCTCTTCAGGGCACCAAATGAAGACTTCATTGGGTTTTATTATGGGTTTCTGGTTTTGGAAGCCCATTGAAGGAGGGAGTCTGAAAGTTGTATACTGTTAATGATTGTCATTCATGTCCTGCCTAAAATACCATGATTGTTTACAAAAAGTATTTTTAATAAAGCTGGATACAGTTTGAGGGAAAAAAAACACTTTAGTAAATATGGCCCTTTACCTTAAAAAAGGAAGAGAGACTGTAGTCAAAGGAGTTATCAGAAGGGTTGAGGGTGTTGAGTGGGATGGAATCAGTGACTAGACTCACAAAAATTGGCAAGGAATGTCACCAAAGCACTTCAAGACAGATCAGGTGCCAATCAGTGAAGTGGAAGAACAGGGTAACTGGGCCTCATGAGCAGCTCCCTATGTCCCCCATTTCCCCCAGTCTTCTGCCTACAGCTATGTTACAGTAGTTTGCTTTCAGCCACTAGTAGCCAGTGATGCCAAAACATTCATGTGCTGAGAAGGAACCCTACATATGAACCAACATGACTTCTACATCATACTGACACCAGTCACCTACTGATCCACAGGTAATTGTCATTACAGAAACACACATTGAAGCACAACAAACTGACTTCATGTGCCCACTTCGTCCCTAACCTGGCCTTCTCTAACCTCCTTCAGAGTGTGGCTTCTCCCTCTGACTCCACTGAAATGGCTAGTTCCCAAGGGTGCTAACATACTCCCACATTATAGCTGCCTCTTCCTGTCTTCTCCTCATTGATCTTCTGCCCAGTATAGTGCCTTTGACTACCTTTTTTTAACTCCTGCCCCTGGCATCTGAGAAGCTGCAATCTCCTAACTGCAATAATTCTTTTTCCTGTTTTGACTCTTCTTATCCCTCAAATGTAGGATTTCTCAAAATTCTGTCTTTAGTTCCCCACCCACTTTTCCCTCCCTGTTCATTCTCTCAGGGTAATTCCATGTGTTACTACACTTTGTCCCAAGCAACTCCCCATCTCCTCTAAATCTACTATGCAAGCACTCAACATTCCTGATTTCTAGTTCCAACTAGTTCTTATTGCTTTCTCTCTTCCATTAAAGTAACTATATTGTTGTTGTTGTTGTTGTTGTTAATAGGTACTATGATGCATACAACACTTACTATGTGTCATACATTAATCAAAGGGCTTTGCATGGATTATTGCAATTCATCATCATAGCCCTAGGAAGTAGTTATTATCCCCATCTTATTGGTGAAGAAATTGAAGATCTAGAAGTTAAGGAACTCACCCAAAATCACACAAATAGAGTCTGAATGCAGGCCTTGATTTCTATGCAGTCTTAGGTGCTCTCAAGGCCTGGATGTTACTCATTCAAGACATATTTATTAAGCAGCTACTACAGGCAGGCCCTGTGCTAGCACTGGCACTCAAGGATGACCAAGACACAGACCCTGCTTAAGAGAAGCTTGAAGTCTAGTGGGAGCAACAGGGAAGTGACAAAGCCAACTTGCTTCAGTGGACTGTGGAGGGCAAGTATTAGGACTTCAGAAGCACCCAGCCTCATAGGTCTGCAAAGACTCAGGAGCAGTTGATGTCTCAGCTGAGGCCTGGGCTAAAAGAGCAATGTGTGGGAATGGCGAGAAAGACCCAAAAGTAAGCTCACAAAGGGACTCCCATGCTCCAACATCCATAATTTCAGCCGGGGCTACCACAAGAATACTGAGGTCAATCGTCAAGATGAGAAACATAGGAGAAGCAGGAGTGAGGGGAACTTGTCTTTAGGCAGACTGAATTTGAAGTACTTGGGAAACAACTAAGAAAAGCTGTCCAGGAGCCATTCACTGTCAGGAGTCTGGGGAATGCAAGCCCTTACCCTACTTTCCCTGGAGGTTCATATAAATGGAGGCATACTCCAAGCTCTATGAGCCAAAAGTCAGCTTTATTAACAGCTAAGAGAGGACCTAGTAACCACCTGAATGCAGGGTCTCCTATGAACCATGCTGAAGAATCCTACTTGAACCTGAGGCCTCTTCTTGCCTTTTACCTGGAAATCTATTGCTTGGAATGTAATATATGTTCTGGCCAAAGTCTAGGCATATGGCCTCCTGCGAGGACCACAGGTATGCAGTGATATCTTGCAGCAGGTAAGCAGAGAGAGGATAACAGTTTCAGGCTCTCTACCTTTCAGTTAGTTGGTTCTCCTCCATCACCAGGTGGACAGAGAAGTGTTTGCTCTACCACTCCGTTCCCTGGTGAGATGAGCAAAGTCTCCTTGTGGAAATACTGAAGGAGATGATAAATGGATGCTTTTTCAACATAATGAGGATTCCAAGCACAGCAAAAGTAACAGAGCATCTTTGTTATTGCCTCCTTTTCTCTTAAACATCTCTAAAAACACAAACAATGGGGTAGGGGTTGAGGAAGCAGATGGAGATGTGTCTTAAAATGTTTTTCATTTGCAAATTTATCTTCCTGAAGTTGTATGCAAAGGCCTGGGTTTTCCAGCTCTATATCTGGTAACACACTACTGCATGGTGTTATGTCAGGCTAAATCTGACCATCCATCCCCTAAATTGATTCATCTATCAAGCATTCAGAGGAGCGAATCTCAGAAGGGACCTAGGACACAGGCTTCAGGAAGGTCCCAGAATAAAGCACAGCCTTGACAGAGCCAGACGTTATCCCAGGAAAAGAGATAGGCAAAGATAACCAGCTTTGTGATAAGAAAAACTAAAGATGAGATTGAAGCATGCAAAAGACCCTCTTTACAATAAGCTTTCCTTCATAAAAGTAGTGTGAGGCTTATGTTAGGCTTGGCATGTGGAAAGCAGAATAAGGTTGGGAGGTTTCTTTGCTATTTCTTGAGACTTTTCTAAGTTACCAATTTTTGAAGAATAATCCGAGAAAACAGGGGGCCTCAGTGGTTCTCTTCCTCCTCTGTGTATTTGGGGTTGGGGGGAACAACTCTGACACCATGATAATAGGCCTTGTCCAAAATTTTGGTTTTCTGAACTTAAATCCAGTGATTGATTCTTGTGGAAAAAAAAAACAGATATATGGATTATAATTAATATTGCAAATGGCAGTTCTGCCCTCATGGTTCCATGTGTAACAACACGTACCCAGTCAGGATGTCACAAACCAGAAAAATGTACATTTAGCAAAGAGCTCACTGAAATGTGGGCTAAAGTTCCTTTTAAAAATATATATCTAACATTATAATATTAATACTTCCTTATTCACAAATAGTAAATATACTTTCATTCTAATTTTGCAATGAAAATCCTGTACTTAGAGACTGCTGCCACTCAGGATGTGGCAAATTGTCCTGGGTCTTTGACCATTCCCATGGTTGATGGGATAATATGACCCCTGCTGAGTTGCCTTCCCAGAAATGAACACAGGTCCAGAGAGGCTAGGCATTTCTGTGCATTCATTTATTCAATTACACAGATATTTCTTTAATACCTCTTGTGTGTCAGGGACCATGGTAGCTGCTTGGGACATGAGTAGGGGGAGTTCCACTGTAGTAGGTTCTACGTTGGCCCAACCTGGGTCACCTTTCCCTGGCTGGCACACCATCCCCCAGCTGCTCTGAGTGTTGGCTACTGAAGAC